ATCGTAAATAACTCAAGATTTTACTATGATAACCGTAGTTTGACTTCTAAACAAAAGTTTTCAGCACGAAATTTTAGGTATATGAGTATCGTGATCGACATAACCTGTCACAGATTTGATACGCGCTTGGCGTAGGGATGTGACGAATAATCATTAAATAATAGAATTAAATTAGCTAACTCTTATTTGTCACACATTTATGCCAAGTGGTTGGGTCATCTACAATAGATTATATACCGATCATGCCGAAATCACAACCTTAACTGAATCGGCCGAAAAGGTGTTTCATGATAATTGTAATGCCGGCTGGATTAAACGGTCACACGGTTAAACAGTTAAACGGTTGAAAAATTTAATCTCTACTATCAAATTTATTAAATTGTAACTATCTGAACCAATCAAATAGTATCTAGCCGATCATTAATATGGTAATGTATTTTAAAAATTTTAGATTTTCTATAAAGAATTATAGTGCGGAGTATTGTTTTGAAATATATAAAAATAATGTTTAGGTAACTCGCACTATACACAAACAATCTAATCGAGTTAAATCATAAGTTTACATTCCTGGTTTCGTCGCGCAACTACCTTATAGGTTTTCTCTGTGCGGCACTCATATCGACTAATACTTTTAGAAATAAACTAAATTCAGGTAGCAGTATGACGTGGGATGGCTGTTGTTAAGTAATTATGCTTGATACGTATCCAAAGATTGAAAATCCTTGATCCTTCTCTCTATTGGTATGGATAATTACCGGTTTATGCATAGCATTATTGATAATGTAGTACGTATGACAAGCATCGTTTGTTTGTTTGTGCCATAGCTGCGACATACGTACATATAATAATTTCTACTGCATCTCTAATAATCCAGAAAGATACAAAAGAATTCTAAAAAGAAATAAAAAGGTAATAGCACCGTTACAATAATAGAAGTTAGTCATTTAAACACTGTGTACTATAGTGGATTTTTTAAACAAAATATATAATTAGGTTGAAACATTATAAAAGATAAGTTTTTTTGCATTCATTTATTCGAAAATATGAATAATAAACCTATTCAAAATTTAGTTAAAGATTTTTCAAACTTACTTGAAAACTCTGAAGATTTTGATATAAAAATTAGAGTTGGTGAAGAACCAGATATTAAAGAATTTAAAGCACATTCTATTATTCTATCAGCAAGATCATGTTATTTTAAAGCTGCATTTTCATCACGATGGGCAAAAAAAGAAAATGGAATCATCATCTTTGATAAACCTAATATTTCACCATCAGTTTTTGAAATTCTTATAAAGTAAGTTTATGTTTTAAAATGCATGTCAATTCAATTATTTATAACCTGTTTTAAGTGATGTCTAAAAATGAATTTTCTTCTATATATAAATAAATAAAAAAAAGTTACATTAGTTTCTATTGTATTAAATTGAATATTTGTTTAATTTTATAAAACGAACAGTTATATTTATACAGGAACATTTTCTCATAAGAACGAAGTTGGCCTTCTCGACATTTTTATCGCAGCCGATGAAATTCAATTATTTGAAATTATTCAACAAGTTGAAAAAAGATTGCTTGAAACTGAATCAGCTTGGAAGTTTCCTGAAGACTTTATTACAATATGTAAACATGACACTTTCACTAATTTATATCAAACTGCACTAGAACTTGTATGCAAAAATCCCAAGATTATTTTTGAATCAAATGATTTCTTAGAAATAAAAGAAGATATTCTAATTAGACTTTTAAAATGTGATGGGCTTAGACTACAAGAGATTGAAATTTGGGAATATTTAATTAAATGGGGAATTAAAAATGTAGAATCTATATCAGATAGTGATTTAACTAAATGGACGCAAACGGATTTTGAAAGACTGGAAAAAGTTTTACATAATTGTATTCCTCACATTAGATTTTATGAATTATCAATTAGTGAACTTCATTTAATTGAAACTCAATATAAGGATATTCTACCGAATAATCTTCTTAATGAGACTTACCAATATTTATCAGACCCTAAAAAACGGAATACTTTACCAAAAAGAGAATCAGCATATCCATTTGATTCTAATATTATTGATGCTAAAGATGCAGCATTAATAGCAAGTTGGATCGATAAGAAACAAGAAATGCCTTATCATTTTAAAAATATGCCTTTTGAATTTGAACTTATTTACCGTGCAAGCCTTGAAAATTTTAGTATTGATAAATTTCATGAGAGTTGTGATAATAAAGGGCCAACAGTTGTTATAATTAAAATCCGAAATTCAAAGGAAATAATTGGTGGATATAACCCGTTAGATTGGTATGGAAATAATTTAATGAAAAACAATAGTGATATATTTAATGATTATAATAAATATAAATTCAAAACAACATCTAAAAGTTTTATATTTTCACTATTTTCATTATCAAATGGAGCAATTCCTAGAATAAGCCGTGTCTCTTCTAAAAAAGAGGCAATTACTTGGTGTATGGCCAGAGGACCATGTTTTGGTTATCAAGATTTATGGATAGAACATAATAGTTCACGAAGATCTGTAAGTGGCAAAAGCAAAAAGCACTCTTACGAAAGTGGAATTATTGACAAAGACACTTTTGAAATAGAAGAATATGAAGTATTTCAAATTATTTATAAAAAATTCTCATTTAGAATAATATTTAATAGAATATTTAAATTTATGATAAGGTTTATTGTGAGAACATTTTCATTTATTGTGTTAATATGTAAAAAAGTAGTTGGATTTATCGTGTCAATGTTTGAGAATATATTTGAATTTATTTTGTCAATAGATGAATTTATTAGGATAGATGTGTGCTGTGGTTTATGTTGGGGTATATTTATGATACTGTCCTTCCTGGCAACTTTAGTATTTATATTTATCAGAATTAGTGTTCCAGTAAAAATTATTATAGCTTCATCTTCTGCTACTGCTTTTATATGTTTAATTTCATTGATAATTGCTGGTGCGGATAAAGAGGAACTTATAGATATATCGGGAGTTTCTAAAATTTGTATTATTTTGCTATGTTTATTTATATTTTTTTTCTATTTATTTTCGATAATTGAATTTATTAATGGTGATGTTACAACACAATATTTTGCGGTATCATCTTTTGTTGCTGCTATAGTTACTGCAATTATGTGGCTCGTATGGTTATTAACGTAGTTTGATAATGTGGTCTTTTTTCTCTTTTGGGCATATTTAAATTTAACGGATATCCAGATTTGGTGTATAAACTTTTTTTCTTATTTTTTATATTATCGTACCTACAGTTTGATCTTTTTTCAATAAACTACCAGCTTTTAATGTGAAGGTGCGTGAAAAATAACAAATGAAACAATCAATAAAAATGCTTTTTTTGATTAAATAAGAAATATGTTAATACAGTCAGACCTCTCTAAGTGCACCCTCTATAAGTGCACACCCTCTCTAAATGCACGCTCAAGTGCCGGCCCAAATATATACTTGACCTCCATAAATGCACATTTTCTTATTATTCTCTATATGCACGTTATTAAAGTGTGGTCCCAAGGGCGTGCACTTAGAGAGGTCTGACTGTAAAACAGCCATGATAAGTTGTAAAAAAAAAAAAAAAGAAAAAAGCACTATTCCTATTTGCTGAAATGTTTGAGTATCCTCAGGAATAGTGATCCGAACCGTCTAAAAAAACCCTGACCCGATCAACTGTCGGTTGATCAATAAGCCAACCGGCTGAGAATCGGTTGGTTGAAAATTTGGTCAACTATCGGTTGAGAACCAGTCTGTTTAAAAGTAAACCTACCTAGGTTACCTTATTAGGCATTAGGTTATTTTAAAAAAGGCAGTGTGATTAAAGATTTAATATCCCGTGATTATATAACTGATAATAAAACTATTTTTACATAGTAATCGTCTTTGAATTATTTTATTTTTAGTTCTATTTATAATAATTCATAAAATATTTATTGTATAGAGAGATGGGGTCTTTGCCTTGAAAATCACCTTCCGAAATTTCTGATCGGGTTAATTCGGACAAAATCATTAGTTCATGTTTATATGTAAATCCCCTTTTGTATTTATAGATTCAATAGTTTATCGAATAAATTATTGAATCAATAAAGGCAAAGGGGTTTGCATATAAAAATGGACTAATACACGGGTTTGATTTTGTCCGAATTAACCCGATCGGAAATGTCGGAAGGTGATTTTCAAGGCAAAGACCCCAGATATATATGCCCAAATCCTACAGTACAGGCTATTACGTTTGACAAATAATAATTGGCTTACTACCTCAGATTTTGATCTGCTATCGGTTGACCTGCTGGTTGATCCATCGGCTGACCCGCTAACCTTCACCCGGTTGGTTATAATTTGAGTTGTATAAATGAAGTATTACAGTCTGAATTAGAATTTGGAACCGACACGATGTTATTATTATAGAAAACAACCAAATACACAATAAATAATAATTATTTTCGCGGCTGATGCTGGAAATTAGGGACCTCGATTTAAAAATATAAACCCGTTTATACTTTTTTATTATCAAAACTAACCTTAAACCCTACCTGACTATCAAAAAAAGCTAAGAAAATGCACACAAAAAATTTTTGAAAATTTCATATTAAAATAATTAAAATTTCCAGCTTCAGCAATTTAGCCTTAGATCATTCAACTTGAAGGATTTCCAATTAATAAAATTTGGTTGATATAGAAGATAGATTTCAAACCTCAACATTTCTTGCTTTCATAAGTCATGTCTATAATATTTTCTACATTTTTTTGTTTCATAAAAAATAACGACGACACTTTCTTCAAACATGAAAAGTCTCTATTTTGTAATTTTAATACGAATTTGATATTAAAAAAAAAAAATAAAAATGCGACAAGTAAAAGAATAAGAAAAATATATACGACTATAGGTATTAAAGAATAAAGTAGAGAAATCTCTATTTTCATTATGGTATTTTGCTATTTTCACCACAAACTAGCTATCTAGAAAATTATATTTATATTTGTAACATAATGAACACTCTTTATTATAATTATTTATAGAGATTCGGTGTAAAAAACATCAATATTAAAATTTTTAAGAATCTCAATTAAACCTATTTTAAAGAACTTAATTTTAAGTAAACACTGAGTGCAAGTAATAGAATAAAAATTTGATCACATAAAATTTAAGAAACTAAACTTAATTAATTCGAAGACTAATTTTAACTTTCAACTCTTTTACATTGTTACCTGTTGCAGTAACAATTTTTAATGGATCATGTATATTCACCAACTCAACGTTATAATATCTATAGACTGATGCCATCAATGAAAGTAGCTCACACATCGCCAGCTTTCTTCCGGGACAGATCCGTGGACCTGCACCAAAGATTATCAAAGAACATTTATTTTCTAATTTTTTATCATCTTGATCAACATCATAAAACCTATCCGGATCGAAAACTTCAGGATTAGACCAAACTTCAGGGTGGCCTTGTACCCAGGGATGGTAAATGACCTGGTCATTTGCTCAAAATTTAAATGACCCAGTCATTTGGTTAAATGACCCTGGTCATT